TAGTCCCACCAAAAAAAAGGAAAAAAAAAAAAGAATGAGAAGTAGGTGAGAAAGTCATGCCTGGTATAGAGAACTTCACATTATAAAGGCATAGAGGCTAAGAAAATCTAGAAAACATACTATAGCAAAGAATCTGCAAGCACTTTGATATGTTTAGTGTGTTGAGAAGTAGTGGGGGGCAACTCTAAGAGACAGAGACCACATCATAAAAAAATTTGCACTTTGACTTCCTATAATCAATGGGAAACCACTGAAAGATTTTAAGCAATTCATTCAGCTCAGCAAACATTTTTATGGTTATTCTATGTCAGACTCTTTTTAGGTTCTAGAAATACATATAGGTCACAGTTTTGTAGAAATGTCATCATTTTATTTCCCTTTTGGAGAGATCATTCTGTTCATGTTATAGAAGACGAGTAGAGGAAGTTAGATTTGGAAGCAGGAACATTAGTTAATCCAGCAAGAGATTATTATGATCTTCAGTTGAGGCAGTGTTACGGGAGTTAAACAAGAGGGGCTAGAATGGAGAGATATTTGGGAGACAGAATTTAGTGACATCTGGGATGTGGAATAGAAATTAAGGATAATCCCAGAGAAAGTGGGTCTGCAGCCTGTCACAGGCCACCTTACCCTTTTCTGTTGGTCTTCCAGTCCCATTCCATGTTTCTCTCTGCCTGAGTACCTCTGTATATATTTTTCTCTCTCCTTTCTCTCTTTTTTTCTTTAATACTGGAGTCCTCTTTGCCACTTCCCATACTTTCACATAATTAATCCCTGCCTATTCTATAAATCAACTCAAACTTTTATTTCCTCCTGCAAATTATCCCTTAACACCCCTTTCTCTGAACCAGGTTAGTTACCTACTATTGTATATATCCTGTCATTGTGTACTTCTCCTTCATAGCACTTACCACAATTAGAATTAAATCATTATTTGTGGAATTTGTTGTTTAGTATGTCTGCCTAGCTACATTATAAATGCATAAAGTCAGACAGAGATTATTAGGTCTTTTCAATAGATGTGTCCTTGACACACAATACATAGTATATATTAAATAATGATTGGTTAAAAATGAATGAAACTTGATTTAAGATATTTGTTAAAAAGAAGGAAAGACAGATGGTTCTGGGTTTTGGCTCTTTGACTGACGAGTGCTATGATTTTTTGGTTATCGCACTGAATCTGGGCTAGCAGTGTGGCTCCAGTGGTAGAGTGCCTACCTAGCCAACATGAGGCCCTGAGTTCAAACCCCAGTACTGCCAAAAAACAAACAGAAAACCACATTGAATCTGACCAGGGGACTGCTTGTTGAATATTCTTCACCACTTGTCTCTGTTAGGATTCCATTTTTCTATTAGTTTTGGTAATTGAGTAAGTATCATAGTAGCTGATTATATGTAACAAAAGACTAAAATTGAGTTAATATGATTTAGTCATGTCCTAATTTAAAAAAAAAATTAAATCATGAACTACTTAGGAATTTTTAACAATTTCTTGCTGATCCTAAGGTTTCTGAGACTCCTGATGCATGGCAAGCTCTAGCAAAGACCACTTGCAATGTACTTGGTTGTTAGGAGCCAGTGAGACCATTTTGGCACATTTTGAGAATATTTCTTAAGTGACACTTGGAGCATGTTGAAGGCAAAGAAAGCATGACACACTTACAAGATGACATGCTGGTAGGGGCTCACACCATAGCGAGTATTTATAGTGATTTTTCTAGAACCTGAATGTTGGGAGAGCCATTGTGATGTGTAATGGAGAAGGGACTGTGGTATGATTTTATTCTAGAATCTCTAAACAATGTAGATCTAGGTAGAAAAGCTAACTAAACCACAGAATAAAAAATAAAAGTTGAAATAAAGCATTTCCTTTTTCAGGGCAAGGCTTGCTTTGTGATTTGTGGGGGAAATACACTGTTTACAAAATTAAATAGGAGTTCTTTGAAAGCTCAGTGTTAAAGCATTGGAGAGCTTTGTTATTTTTTTATTTTTTTTTTTAATTATGTATGAAGTGATAGGGCCACAAGGGGACCAGCTGCCTGATTGCCTGTTTTCTTCAAAAAAACCAGGTGTCTACCAGGTCCTCCATTGCACCAAAAAGACAGGCTGTAGGAAGGAAGGAAATATGGATGTTGACCTTTATGACCTGCAAGACTCACCAATGAAGCAAACATTGTACATTGCTTCCTCTAAATCCCTGCATTATCACAATCATTTCAAGACCTACAACTGGTAAAAAGACTGTTTTAAAAGCCTATAGTTCTTGAGTATTTGGGTATTTGGAATAAGCGGGATGATTTTTCAATATGTGTGGGGGGTGTTTTTTTTTTTGTGGGGTTTTTTTTTTTTTTTTGCATTTTAGGAAAACATGAGCAAACAAAGGATCATCACTAAAATGAAATTTGGGACAGTTTCTCTGTAAAGTAGTTGGTTTCCTCATGAGTTCTGACCAGTTTTGTACTTGATTCTAGTATATTTTTTAAGATACTACCATGTTCCAGGCACTGAGCTAGCCGCTTCACATATTTCCCCCTTATTTTCCAGACAAGTGTATGAGTCAAAGAAAGTGAGAAAGTCAAAAATTTTAATAAAATATAAAGGCACCCCTAGTGAAATAATAGGGCAAGACAGTAGTCATCAAAGACTGTTAAAACAGTATGTGAGAAGGTGGCAAAGATAAGCTTATTTAATATCTATTCTTTCTCAACTCCCAATCTTAATATAATCCAACTGTATCCAGAAATATTGTTTCATTGGAACACCTCTGTGTGTATCTCTAAAATATAGGAAATTAGCCAGCTGTGGTAGCACATGCCTATAATCCCAGCATTTGGAAGACAGAGGCAGGAGGATCAAAAGTTTGAGGCCAGTATGGCCTACATAGTAAGTTCCAGGCCACTATGAGCTGCACAGCAAGATCCTGTCAAGAAAAAAAAAATAAATAAAAATAATAAATAAAATATAGGAAATTAAAATTAGTAACACTTCAGTACTGACAAATATCCCCTATTCGTATTTCTACAAATGACATTTTAAAAGGAGAGTTGAGGTTTGTTCAAATCAAGATGTAAACAAGGTCCAGATATTTAATTTGGTTGATAGGTCTCTTAAGCTGTTAATTCCCTTGACATGGAGATCCATTAGCAAAAACTGCATCATAAAAACCAAGTAGTAGTATCACTTTACTGAGAAGGAAGCTAAGGCTCAAAGTTGTAAAGTGAGTGTCCCGAGACTACAGAGTAAATATGCCTGGCTGCCTAATTCCTAGTGTAATGTGATTTCAGCTCTCTTACTCTGTGGCCATGACTGCTGGGTGTAGGTTTGGTTTGGAGAGAATTTGGTTTTCAATCCTGGTAGTTCTCTTCCTTAGTTCTTAGGTGAAGGCAGTCTTAACCTATACATATTTAATCATTTGAATGTAACTTTTTGATTTTGCTTTAAACAAATGACAGTAAATATTTTTAAATTTACAGCTAAGTTTAGCTAAGAAAAAGCCTCGATGCTGTTTAAAATACATACTTAGAAACTATGAAGTTAGCAAATTTATTGTTGACTTTTTCTTGCTCTAGAAATTAATCTTATTTTTTCAGTAATGTGCATCTTTCTTTGCACTGAATAATTTTATTAGGTTTTATGAGTATGCTTATAAACTTGGGTCTTATTCTTATTTTAATTAGCCATAATTGTCTGAAATTCAAACTTTGGAAAGCTTTCTTTGCATTTTTTTATTCTACCAGGTCATAATGGTAGCTCTAAAATTTACCTCCTTTTTTCATTTGGCAAATATTCCTCCAACAAATAAAAATTATTTAAATTTTCTTTCCTGTTAACAGTGTACCATCTAGTTAAATAGAAAAGTCTCTGAAATTAGCCTCACTTTTGTTCCTGTCTATAGTAGTTGGTATATCACATTGTAATCATTTACTTACATGTTTTAGAGATAAGTACTTTTTTTATGGCGTCTTTTAGAGGTAATGCAATGTAATGAAGAGAAAATGAACTGTGGAGTCAGTCAGACCTGGTTCCAAATCCCAGGTCTATTGTTGGTAGGACCTGGGATCAATAACTCAGTTTTTCTGAGCCTCAGTTTGCACACCTTTAAAATAAGGAAAATAATACTGACTTCTTCAGGTTGTTTTGATGAGATGTTAAATGCACACAACACAATTCTAACACATAGTAGGTGCCTAACAAACATTTGATATCCCCTATATTTAAGTTCTCATTAAACTTTTGTTGAATGACTGAAATGATTAGATGAATACATATTCTTGTCAAAGGAGAAGAATGATTTAAATAATAAATAGTATAGGATGGATTTGCTATTAATTTAGTTGTAACTTAAAAATGTATTCTTGCTATGTTTCAAAGTTATTGGTACTGTATCCCTGGTGAGTAGAGATGTAACACTACACAGTTACACTGCATCAGGCTTGCCTTCCCTATCTTAGAATGTTTCCTGCCTTTTAGGTATTCTACATGCTCACCATGATGGAATTGTGTTTTAAGAAATAAATGTCCTTAATCTTCCTTGTTCTTCCTTCTGTGCCTCATGGAATTCTTTTGGTTTCTCTTTCATTTATAGCACTCATCTTACTCTAGATTGTATTGATTGTTATTTGTGGACTTGTCTTTGCCTCCCACCTCAAGCTCAAAATCTACTATAGGAGTTCTTAACTTTTTGGGGTTTCCTTATTAACCATTTGTGAGACTATGATAAAAGCCAAGAACTGTCCCTCCTGAAAAATGTATATAAGCACACAAAAGTTTTCATATTAGTTCAGGAGGTTTGCAGACTCTAGGACAAGACTTTTTTTTCCCTAGATTCTATTTTCAGTCAATACCTGAGTTCTACTGATCTTTGCATCTATGACAGAACCTACCACATATATAAGAGATAGTTCAGTAAATTGTGAATTGATGAATTGAAATGCAAAAATGAGACCCTCTAAGTTTTTTACTACAGAATCTTTAAATAGTATTTCTTCTTTTTCCCTTAGGTTTCCATCTGAGTGGCACCGTAACTGAGCCAGCCACAGCTTCTGAACCAGCAGTAACTTACAAAGTTGCAATCAGTTTTGATCGGTGCAAAATCACTTCTGTGACATGTGGCTGTGGGAATAAGGACATATTCTACTGTGCTCATGTGGTAGCACTCTCACTCTACAGGATCCGTAAACCAGACCAAGTCAAACTGCGTCTTCCTATCTCAGAAACTCTTTTCCAGATGAATAGGGACCAGCTCCAGAAGTTTATTCAGTATTTAATCACAGCCCACCACACTGAAGTTCTTCCTACTGCACAAAAGCTGGCAGATGAGATTCTGTCCTCCAACTCAGAAATCAACCAAGTGAATGGTAATTGTACATTTTTCTAAAAATGGCCTTTTCACAACCATTGTTACCAAAGTAACCCTCTTCCCTCTACTATGTTGCTTTGTTGCATTTTAAGAGGTTGGGATTTTTCTGCAATTCTAATAATTTAACCTTAATCAATCCATTCTATCCAAACAACTAAGTGTTTAATTAGCTCTTAGTTTCTTAAAACAATTCACTTGTCTACCTCATAAAGGTCTTTGCATGAGGTGTTGGTAGTATTTTATTTCTCAACTTTGGTGATAGTTACAAAGTTATAAACATTATGCAATAATTCATCTGTACTCTTAAGATTGTACAGTTTTCATAATTTATTAATACAGTAAAGAATTTATGGGCTTGGTGGGGGTAACTCAGTGGTAGAGTGCTTGCCCAGCATGCCCCAGGTCCTGGGTTTAATCCCCTAGGACTGACAAAAAAAAAAGGAAAAGAGTTTAATTTTAAAAAGCTATATGTATGTATGTACTTATGTGAGCAAAAACTAGAAAGAAATTTAGTAGAATATTAACAGTGGCAATTTGTGGCTGGTAGAATTATAGGTGGGATTTTTTTAATACTTTGAGTGTAATTTCTATAAGTTTTGTATTATTTTTATAATTTAAAAAGGTGTTTAAAAGTGAAAGAAAATTGGTTCCTTAGACTTAATAGCCCTCTCAGGACACGTCTCATTGTACAGCCTCGTGTTAACTTGGTGCCTCAACCCACATATTAATTATTTATAAAAGACATCCTTGCCATTTTATCTTATCACCATTTCTCCTATAATGCTGAAGAAAAATTCAGACTAACACATTTAAACTGACTAGGTCTACTTTACTGATACTGGAGGGTAGGTTGTTTTATTCTTATTTCTTCTTATGAAAAGGCTAAAATATTCAAACCAATGAAGCTGTATAGAAACAGTTTAATTTAATTTAATTTAAAATCAACAGATTTTCATGAGGGGTAGCTGAAAAAGCCACTTTGTATACTCCAGGTCTTGTTTATCTAGTTAAAATGATCTGTGATCCTGTTCATTCATTCTTTTAACTAATGACATTTCTTATTTAATTTTTTTCTCCTCTTACTTTATATGATCTCTGTAGGCAATCTTAGCTACATGCTTGATTTCAAATGTCAATGCTATACTGTGACTCACAGATTTCTTTCTCCAGACCAGATTTTCTAAGCTTGACTGTTTCACATCACAGAGACATCCCAAGGTCAGCATATACAAATGTGAATTTAAGAGCTTCCTTTCCAAACTAGCTTATATTCTCTATCTCAACAACTCACTATCTCATGACTGCATCATGATGGAAATCTTGTAGCCATTTTTCTTATATTGTCTTTCTTATATGCCACATGCATTCCATTATAAAATCAGTTTTTATCTCTAAGTATATTTCATGATTTTCCACTTCTATTTGGTTACCCTAAATCAAGCCATTATAATCTTTCACCTAGATTGTCATATAGCTTTTTAACTGATCTTCCATATCCACTATTACTTCTCCATACAACAATCCAAAGTGATTTTTCTATAACTGCAGATATTATATCATTTATTTTAAATCTTTCAGTGGTCTCCTTTATTACTGTTAGAATAAAGTCCAAATTTCTGTGACCTACAGAACCTTGCCTGAACTGGCTTTTGCCTGTTTTCACATGATATTACTCTCCTTGAGTATATTTAATTACCAAGTAATTTATGAATTTGTTACTTTCATTATTTCATATTTAATTCTTATTTTTCAATTTATTTTATTAGCATATATTAATTGCACAGAGGGGCTTCATTATGATATTTCCATGCATGTATATAATGTACTTTGATAATATTTACCTTATTATGCTCTCCTATCCCCTTTCCTTTTAATCTCCCATTTTTAAACTTTCTTGAACAATTGTTTAAAATGGGTTTCAATATCACCTATTCATACATGTGTAGGATGTAGTTCAATCATATTCTCCCTCATTCTCTCTTTTCCCATTCCTACCTCTTGGTGGTTCCCCCTGCCAATTAGTCCCCCTTTGTGTTCATGTTCTTTAAAAAAAACAAACAAACCTAGATTCTACATATGAGAGAAAATGTGGTATTTGTCTTTCTAATTCTGGCTTATTTCACTTAATGTGATGATTTTTAGTTCCATACATTTTCTTGCAAATGACATAATTTCATTCTTCGTGATTAAATAATACTCCATTGCGTTTGTGTGTGTGTGTGTGTGTGTGTGTATCACGTTTTTTTAATCTGTTCTTGTGTTGATAGGTACCATAGGGAGATTCCATAACTTGGCTATTGTGAAGACTGTTGCAATAAACATAGGTGTGCAGGTATCTGTATTGTATGCTGACTTGCATTCCTTCAGGTATATGCCCATGAGTGGCATAGCTGGATCATATATGTGGTAGTTCTATTTTTAGTTTTTGAAGAACCTCCATATTATTCTATAGTAGCTGGACTAATATTCCCACCAACAGTGTATAAGGATTCCTCAGCTACCCCCCACCCATCCTCACCAGCATTTATTGTTGTTTATTTTCTTGATGATTGCCCTTCTGAGTGGAGGGAGATGGAATCTCAAAGAGATTTTGATTTGGATTTCCTTTATAGCTAAAGATGCTTGAACACTTCTTCATGTGTTTATTGGCCATTTGTACTTCTTTTGAAAACTGTTTAATTTATTTGCCCATTTATTAATGGGATTGCTTGTTCTTTGGGTATTTAATTTTTTTAGCTCTTTATGTGTTCTGGATACTAATCCCTTATCAAATGAATATCTGGCAGATATTTTCTCTCATTCTATAGGATATCTCTTTACTCTGATAAATTTTCTTTTCATGTGCAGAAACTTTTTAATCTGATACAATTCCATTTGTCAACTCTTGCTCTTATTTTCTGAGCTATTGGAGTTCTGTTCACAAAGTTGTTGCCTATACCTACATCTTTGAAGTGTTTGCCCTATTTTCCTCCAGTAGTTTTAGAGTTTCAGGTCTTACATTAAGGTCTTTGATACATTTTGAGTTGATTTTTTTATAGGGTAAAAGATAAAGATCTAATTTCAGTCTTCTGTATGTGGATATCCAATTTTCTCAGCACCATTTGTTGAAGAATCTGTCTTTTTCTCTAACATGTTTTTGGTGCCTTTGTTGAGAATCAGATGACTGTAACTGTATGGGCTTATTTCTGGGTCCTCTATTCTATTTCATTGGTCAGTGTGTCTGTTTTTGTGCCAATACCATGATGTTTTTGTCACTATGGCTCAGTAGTATAATTTGAAATCCAACATTGCTCTTTTTGCTCAAGATTGCTTTGGTTATTCTGGGTCTTCTGTACTTCCATACGAATTTTTGAATTTTTTTCTATTTCTGCGCAGAGCATCATTGGAATTTTGATAGAGATTACATTGAATCTATAGATTGCTTTTGGTAATGTAGCTATTTTCACAATATTAATTCTGCCAATCCATGAACCTGGGAGAGTTTTTTTTCCCCATACTGGGGATTGAACCCGGGGCTTTATGCTTGCTAGACAAGCACTCTACCACTTAAGCTATGTCCTAACCCTTTTTTTGTTTTGTTTCGTTGGTGGTGCTTGGGTTTTGAACTCAGGGCCTCAGCCTTACTAGGCAGGACTCTACTACGAGAGACATACCCACTGCCTTGTTTTGTTCTGTTTTTGAGCTATGGTCTCTTAACTTTGCTCATCCTAGCCTCGAACTCATGATCCTCTGCATTTACCTCCCAAGTAGCTGAGATTACAGGAATGCTCAACCATGCCCTACTGAGGTTTTTTCCATCTTTTAGTGTCTTCTTCATTGTTTTTCCTCAGTGGTTTATAGTTTGCAGTGTCGAAGTCTTTCACCACCTTAGTTAAGTTTATTCCTAAGAATTTTTCTTTTTTGAATGTATTGTGAATGAGATTATTTTCCTGATTTCTTTCTCAGCATGTTTGTTAGTGAAAAGCTACTCAAATTTTGTATATTTAGTTTATATGCTGTTTCTTTGCTGAAAACACTTAACAGATCTAAGAATTTTCTGCTGTAGTCTTCAGAGTCTTTTGAATATAGAATCATATATCTGCAACTAGGGATAATTTGACCTCTTCCTTTACTATTTATATCCTTTTTTTTTTCCCTTGCTTTATCTGTGGCTAAGAATTCAAACACTAAATTGGGTAAGAGTGGAGAAAGTGATACCCTTATCTCATTCCATATTTTAGAGGAAATGCTTTCAGTTTTTCCCCCATTTCCACTGACTAGTTTGTTGGTCATTTAAAATAAACTAGAAGGCTTGGAGGCATGACTCAAGTGATAGAATGTCTGCCTAGCATACACAAAGTCCTGAGTTAAACCCCAGTGCTGCCAAAACAAGCAAACAAACAAAGAACAATAGAATGGAAACAAGCTAGAATATGCCACAAATGATTGGATATTTAAGGTGAGTATAGAATATCAGATTAAAAGAAGTATCATAGTATAGGAACAACAATCCCACTACTGGATATCAATTCATAGAATGAGTTTGATAACATTAATCCCCTTTCTATTTTATGGAATAGTTTGAGGAGCACTGGTGTTAGTTCTTCAAAAGTCTAGTAAAATTTACCAGCAAATCCATCCAGTCCTGGAGTTTTCTTTGTTGGAAGACTCTGTATTACTATTTCAATCTCATTGCTTATTATAGGTCTTTTTAGGTTATTTATATCCTCTTGGTTCAATTTTGTTTGGTTATATGTGTCTAGAAATTTATTCATTTGTTCTAGATTTTCCAATTTATTGAAATTTAAAATTTCAAAGTAATCCCTTCTGTTATCTATTATAATATCCCCTTTTCCATCTCTAATATTATTAATTTGAGTTTTCTCTCACTTTTGCTTGTTTGGCTAGGAGTTTGTCAATCTTACTTATCTTTTCAAAATACCAGCTCTTTGTTTCATTGATTTCTTTGTATTGCTCTTTTGTTTTCCATTTCATTAATTTCTGTCCTAATTTTTAGTA